CCTTGTTATCTGAAGAGAAATAGGCAGTCAGGTTTAGTGACCTGGTCATCATGTAAGCTCCATTCCAAAGGTTTAACAGCTAAAGTGATTAAATGTAATGTCTTGATGTCAGAAACAGTAAGAGTAAATCTTCAGCAATTGCAAACATATGAATTATGAGCAGAAACAGTCCTTTAGGCCTCTCGAGTGCACTCCACCTTCAAAAAGATCGTTGCTGACCTGTTTGGATTTTGAAATCAACATTCCCACCTACTCCTGGTAATCTTCGTCGAACATGAATCTGCTTACCTCCACCTTAAAAATATTCAAGGACTCCAACTGCACTGCCTTTTGAGGCAGAGTTCCAAAGTTGTACCACCATCTGAGAGAAAACACTTCTGCTCATCTCTGTCTTAAAAGAATGACCTTTAATTTTTAAACTGTGCCCCTAATTCTGGACTCACCCAGTAGAGGAAATATCCATTTCACATGCACCTTGTCAAGACTATTCAGAATCTTCACTTCATTCAATCACACCTCATTCTTCTAAACTTCAGTGGAAACAAGCATAGTCTGTCCAACCTTTTCTCATGAGACAATCCACTTATTTCAGATGTTAATCCAGTAAACCTCCTCTGAATCACCTCCAACATACTTACATCCTTTTTAAATAAAGAGACCGAAACTGCACACAATATTCTAGGTGCGGTCTCACCAATGTCCTGCATTACTGAATCACAACATCCTTACTTTATGTTCAATTCATCTTATAATAAAGGATAGCATTCCATTAAATGAAAACAAAAATACTCTGGATGCTGGAAACCTGGAGCAAACACAGAGAATTCTGGAGAAACTCAGCAGGTCTGGCAGCATCTGTGAAGAGAGAAACAGAGTTAATGTTTTGAGTCCGGCAAAACTATTATTCAGAAAACAGTCTTTTAGCATTTAGCAATGACCTCTGATTATGCAGTTCATACATTCTCAAATTATGACTCTCCAAACATCATGAGGTCATTAGAATTCTGCACTTTAAAAAAAACATTACTGGCATTGCAAACATTGACCCTGCATCAATGTTTCTGTATTTAGAGTACTAGTGATGGATGTAGAAGACCTTTGTTTCTGTGTCAACAACCAATACTGAATGCTGACCAGATCGATTGAAAACATTTAATCAGTGATGGCTAGCCAACTTTGTTGATGTCATGCCCTGTATTCAGAAACAAATAAAGTCAAAGTCTGCTTGATGTCTGGGTAGCTTCTCTTTGAAATGCTAATAAATGTGAAGTTGCAGACTGGGGGAAGTAGACTAAACCATTACCGCTAATTGTTGCCCCATGAACATATGTGCACAAGTTAAAAATAGTTCACAAATCAAGTTTTTAAAAAAATCATACACAGTTAATTGTGTAAAGCCATGCTTCTGGCAGAAAGTTTCACACATGAGGATCATATATCAGAATTTTGAATGCATGGTTCCCATGACTTTCCAGTCATTAATTATAGTAGATATGAAACCATATGGGAAATTACCCTGATATCTAAAATGCACTTCAGGTAGGTAACCCACCTCACCAGAAATGTATTTATGTAAAACTTCAATGTTTTGGCTTTAATATCTATGTTAGCAAATGCTTCTTCTGAATTAAATCTTTGCCCAAGTTGCTCAAATTTATTTCTGTTAACTTGGAATGTTGAAGTTTAAGGGATTGGCCTAGGAATTGCTCAGTACATGTGTTCATTGCATGAAAGTCTGTCTCATTCATGAGTTTTGTAGATTTCTCCATTATATATTTCAGAAAAGATATTTTAATCCTTTTCTATTGTTTAATTTTGATTCCAGCATTAGTAATTTTCTACATTTTACTGTTTTAGCTTATTTTATTTGTACTTAAATCTGATTGTTACTTTTAATTTCAATATAATTGTCTGTATGATCTTCACTGTCCTGTACAGTTTGAAAAAGGACAAAATTGGCATCCAATGTGATCTTCAATCAGAAGATATAAAATACAGAATAAATGACAGTGTGTAATTTGCATTCAACTTTTAGAAAGAAAAATATTCAGTGTCCTATCTTTCTTTACCATGGGGCTGAACATTATATTTTGTTGGCAAAATCTGAGCCGTGTGGGTTTTTTTGGAAGGATTCACACTGTGGGGCTCCCCACTGAGATTCTCACTGTACCTTATGAAACACGCCTCATTAAACACCTACCCTATCACTATGATGTCCCTCATGTCTAATTTTGTCCCCATCTCACCACAAGGTTTCCCAGAAAAACTGACCACTCTCAAGATAGCAAGCAAAAAACCAGCCATCCCTGTCACAACAGCTTATTGTGCACCCAGACAAGCATTGCCAGACGAGAATTGCCGACAAAGTTCCTGATCATGCTGCAATCTTGACAGGCAGGAAAACTGGCACTCCACTTTGCAGGCAGGAAACTGAAGGACCTGTGGGGCAAATGGTGCAAATGAGGAAGGGTCCTCTTCCCCTAAGACCAGCGGTGGAGACCACAACACCGGACCATGCCAATATGCTCACAGGTTGCCACCCAGGTCAGTGCAGTATCAGCATCTGGAGGAAAGATCAGTGTAGGGAGAAATCAATGACCTTCTCCACTCCACCAGTGTAAGTACTACCATCGCCTCTTCAGTGCCTCATATTCAATCTATCTCTGCTACCAAACCCACCTCCCACTAAGTTTCATGCTCAACCATTCTCACTGATGCACACAGCGTTTTCCTCCCTCTGTCATCCACCTTGATTTCCAACACCATTAACCCTGCAGCTGTGCCACCAATTTGATTTCCCTAGTATCTTCCTCTTTGTCTCAATGCAGGAGGAAAACAGCCCGCAGCAATGCAGAACAAATCATGACAGGGGGTGTGTTGCATAGAATTCAGCTCTTCATCGTGTGCGAGGATTGAACCCTGACTTTGGCCACTGCAAGTGGCTGACTGAAGCTGTCCAAGCTCCTAGATATATTGCAATGAAAATCCCCTGACCAAATCCCATCTCTGGACTGAGGAATGTTGATGACCATGAAAAGCTTCCTGGCTTTGTGTCTGTACTAAACAGCAACACAGTGAGCCTGATATCTCTGACTAAAGGGACAAAGTGCGAAAAGGGAAGGCTAGAAAATTCAAGGCAGTGATGCAGTGAGCAACCCAATACGTGAGTGAGTGAGTGCGATGACAGCAAGCAAAAAGCCCAGAAATATTTTATGGCCCAGTCCATGAGCTGGTGGGCGCATGTTCCTGAGCGCAAAGTCTCCTGCTGCAGCATTTCAATAATTATTATTATTATTATTACTGTAAAGGCATCATTGAAGTTCAGGAAAGTCCTGTAAGTGGATTGCAGATATGCCATGAAGGTTCTTAGATGCTGGCACATGTGAGATGCCAATATCAATAGATTTGGGGCACATGTGAATGATCCTCATAAAATGGGCCCTGTGATGTTGGTGCCCAATGTTGACCATGGAGGTCCCTTGGAGTAAGCAGTGAGTTGAGTTTGCTAGGTACACATTCTGATTTCTATTTTGAGAATTCTTGGAGAATTCTTGTCTAGCAAGACAGAAAGCTTATTATTAACGGTTGTTTATTAAATGAGGTGTTTAACAAACTATAATTCTCCTTAACTGGTAACTTGCCACTACTTAGTGAGAAACATGTCTCACCACTCAGCAAAAGCATAAATAATGCCGCGGAATGCTCCTGATGCCGAGATAGGCCTTGCCAGACTTCTGGTAACCAATTTGGCTATAAAGCTTGCCTGAGCCCATGTTACTCAGATCCCAATAGTATTCCACCCATGGGCTATGAATTAATACTGCATGCTTTCAAATTGTACCAACGGAAAATTGTAATTGCTGCATAAATTGAATTTTTGTGTTTAATATATTTTGTAATTTAAATTGTTTTATGGTGAGCTATACTGAAACTAACAATGGCAGAGTGCCACAACTAGAAATAGAGCAAGATTAGCAGTTTACACAGGAAAACTGGCAGAATTGTATAATCCCCAAAACACCAATAAAGTTCATACTAACATGCAATAAGTGGGATGGCATGTTCAGTCACTAGAAACCAGTAGGCCGAATTATAAATGGAATACGATCTCAAAACACTTGTTAAAATGGTATGAAAGCATTTTTAATTTATTTTAACTGATAAAGTCTTGTTGAAAGGGAAAAAAAAATACTAATAGTACTAACCATAAAAAAAAATGGAAAATTTTCCTTCCACCTAGTCCTTTCAGCCTGCTGGTAATTTCTTACTTCTGATCTTCATAAAGAAAAATAATGCACAGGATTCAGGTAATCGAGCTTTGCTGATTTTGTACGGATTTAAGATTGCTCAAATGTAAATTTGAAGGTGATAATTTGACCTGCAGTCCATCTGATATTCAAACAAAATCTGATACCAGATTTTACACTACCATATTCATTGCATTAATATTTTTGATTAAACACTTCTGTTTCTATGTGAATAAATTCACACCAAATAAACCTATTTGCAGTATGTGTTAAATGCTAAAACACCATCTAATGAACTTATTTTAATTGCTTTGTGACCCAATTCAAATCACATATCTTAATTCATTCGCTGTTTTTGTGGAAAAACAACTCGGTGTTATGAAAATTGATCTTTTAACAATACATAATACAAAATAAAATCATAATTCACAAATTAATATCAAATAGCCCTTGCCTTATGTGTTTTACTTCGCATTGTTCAGTAAACAAGAGGACTGCACTTGGGCCAAATGTTGATTAGATTATTTCTCCAGAGATAAAATCTGGCGGCCCAGCCAAAGAAACACATTATGTCTTCGCCTGGTTTTAAGATTAAGGTGTTAGTCCTGAATCTTACCCCACCCTAGCTCTTTGCAGGTGAAATGGAAAGGCGGGGGAGGGGAGGCGATGAGGATGCGGAAAAGGTGGGACACAAACCCTGCTTTAAGTATGTGTAAATGGTGCTTGAAAATACTTCACACTCCAAGCCATGAGTCTCGATCCAATCAACGTTAATTCAAAGCTCAATTTTGTTTACATCTCACTGTGTTTGTCTTGTGTTTGATCATAGACGGGTTTATTGGAAGTTTATCCATTTCCTTCGCTCTCTCTCTCGGTCATCCTTGAGTTGAGTGCGCTAAGGATCGAAGTCGCCATGGTAACCAGCAGCTCCGCTTCCTCGGGAGGCAGGCAGGGAAAAGCTTGGATTGAGCTGAACCCAGACTCCATCATGCGCTGGGTGGAGAAAAAAAGAAATAAAGAGGGAAAGCAAAAACAGACAGGGATAAAAAAAATGCACCAAAGCAGCACCCATTATCTCGGTCTAACAGACTATTCATCATCAGAAAGCTAGGAGCTCGTGTAAAGCGCCAAAAGCATGTGCAGATTGTATTTACATTATCACTGGGGAGGGGGCAAACAAGAGGAAAGAAATCAATAATATATCCACGCATCTATTCGCATTAATTTGTTTAAGCTGCGAAAAATTCGCCGAGCATCTCCAGACACAACAGACGCACTGATTATAAAAGCAGACTCCGACATGGTGACGATGGCACATCCAATTGCAACCCAACGGCATGGAGACCACATTTAGCAAATCATTTCACGTACTCCTTCTTCATCGGCTGGAATCCAGTGTTCAATCTTTCTTTTCTTATTTCATGTACTTTAACCCAAAAAAGAGAGGAAAGATACTCCACCCGTTTCGGATCTACATAAGAAATGGAGCGAGAAGACATTGTTACAGAGTAACGGTGTATTTACCTAATCAACGGAATGGTGAGCGTAAAACATAAAGGGCATGATGTACGCCATTGATAAATGCATTTTCCTTGGCGGTGGCTATTTAAATAGTTATTATAAGCAGGAACAGCAAGTCCAAATGTTTAAACAAGTTTCTTGATGAGGCAGAAAGAAATGCTTCGCTACTTTTGTATCTGTATGTAATTCATCCAGGGATTTTTGTTTCTTTTGATGTGTTATCATCAAACAATCTAAGATCTCAAATCGCCAGCATCAGAAATTACCATCCTTCATTGAAACCCAATTAGCTGTTTGAAGTCATTTAATCCAAGGCTGGGCAGGCGCTTTCAACATATTTAAGCATGTCACTACCCTACACACACGCACACACACTCATATATATTTATCTTATACCAAAACCAGTGCAACCCAATGTAAGCAGTAAAAAGTCCCAGATTTCTCCCCCCACCCCCTGCACCTTTTCAGCGAAACATGGGCGAGGAAATATTCCGGATGGTTCGCTACAATGGTAGACTCCACCCCCGTAACCTGTGATTGGCGGTGGAAGAGATTCGGAAGGCTATGATTGGATGTAGCCGGATTTGGTTGGCGTCATTGCTAAGTAGCCCATTCATCGATGCATTTGGGCGTTGGACTCTGCATGTTATTAGCGCTCAGGGAGACCTCTCCATTTTACCCCCTTGTCGAAGAGCAAAAGCTACAAATCTAGGAATTTACAAATTTTATTACCAGTGCAACGTGGCCTCCCTTCCCCCCCTCCATTCGTGCTTTTTTTTAGAAAAAAGAAATTGTCGCTCTGCGAAGGATTTGTTGCAAGGAACTTGAAACTTTTTTTTCTCTCAGGGTGTGATTCCGGCTCTTTTCTTCCCCCCTCTCTTTCTACTCCTCCTTCTGTCTGCCCGTCCCCGTGTGTGTGTGTGCGTGCAGCATTGAAAAGCCAGGCGTCTTTGTTCGCTGTCTTTCTTTCGCTGGCTCGGAGTTTCTTTGTTGTACAAGCATGGGAGCCCAATTCTCCAAGACCGCTGCGAATCGCGAAACTGTTGCTGAAAAAGCGGGGGAAGCTGCAGCTGGATCGCCTTCTAAAACCAATGGGCAGGTTTGTATTTTTAACTCGTTTCCTTTAGATTATTTTTAAACTGGGTTTATCCGGAATGTTCCCCCCCCCCCTTAAGATCTCTACTGACAATGTATTGTAATTGTAGAAAATGTGGTACTCTAACATGGGAGCCATCAGCCATTTGGGGTTTGATGAATTTTCCTTTTTTTTAAAAAAAAAAAAAAAATCGACGTTTGGTAATTCTATGAAATGATGTGATTTAGAGAGGACCGTTCGTCTTCGCCACACCGTTGTATTGGAAATGATTGCAAACGAAATCGTAAACAATTTATATGAAGTACAAATGTTGCTCTAGTCGAAAAATGTGTAATGTTAGTCATAGCACACACGACTGAAAAATGCGTTGCTTTTATTGGGTTGTGTGAGATGTGTTGGAGTCCTTCATTCTCGTGGATATGTCCACGACAATTTCGATGTCCTTTGTTTTATTTTGGGGGTGAAGGATTTCCCGTGAACTGGGATCAATGCTGTTTGGCTGGTGGTGTGTCCGATTGTTATGTGTTCTGTGCTAAGTCAGGGTGGTTGACAACGAAATTCAAGGGCTGCCTTTCCAATGGGGTTTAAAAGGTGTGAGTCCTGTCGCCAACAGAAGCGGGATATTTGTACAGGTCTAGCACCACGCCTTTTATCTGGTGGTGGTATTAGGACCATAGACCTGTACAATCGCTGAGAGAGCTCACAGGCGTCTCGGCTAGCTGCTTTATAAAAAAATGTATAATCGTTGCCCTTTGTTTCTCTCTTTCCACCCCCCCAAACAAATAAATATAAAATGACAATTTTTTTTCGTTCATGTTACGACAGTTGAGTAAGCAGCTTTTGGGGTATAGAGAGCGGGCTGCCGGTGCCTGTCTCAAGTGAGCAGCTCAATGCTCTGCTCGCTGCCGACAACAACCTGGGCACCGTGAGCAGGGGGCGCCTCCTAGCGGTTAGCCGGCTACCCCCGGGGCTTTCCTTGAAATGGATCGCTGCAGGTTAGCATCGTATGCGATACGTTGGGGGTGGGGGGGGGGGATTAAAAAAAAACTCGGTTAAACCTCCAGGTGGTCTAGGTTTGTCGTCATATCGTGCAGCGACGGAACTACTGCAGGGGGAACATGCTTTAAGCAAATAAATAGTTGGCGCATTACATTGCAAGCCCGTCTCCTTTTCATGAGTTGGTGAATTTAAAAAAAAATGCTATCCCATTCAGTTTTAAGACCGTGGGGAGGAATATGGAGAAAAGGTGGGGGTGTGGGGAGAGACTTCGCTAGAATTGGGCTGTTTGTGCCCTCTTGATGGTACTCTTTTTTAATTTCTCCAGTAGATATTGGGGTCTACCTGGGATTGCATTTTCCCTTTCACACCCACCAGAACGGGATGCTCGGTGTCAGGACGCATCGAGGTGGCACCTGACCTTTTTGCAACCGCTGGCCATTCTCCAGTGGCCTTAGAACGCAAGCCCCGGAGCA